GCGCACAAATATACATAGTCATAAAATCGAGCAAAAATAACAGGCCCAGTATGGAAGAAAGTTAACCAAATCACTCTGTATCGATCTATCTAGGTTTTTTAATTTTTAATTTTCTTCTGGCTCAATTGACTCTATATAAGAAGTAAGATTGAGCCGGATAGTGTTCTTGCTTTAGTGTTAACGTGAGACTCTTACAAAAGTGAAACCCAGCTCTGATGATGTCCATCATATGATGGACGAAAGCTCAGCACGTTTTCACCCGAGACGAGGGAGGAAATCTTGTGGACTGCGTCAACATGAATATCGTACAAAAGCCAAACGGCTGCAGTACAACGAGATTTATCCGTCCTCATCTGGTGAGATCGACCAACGAATCTCTTCTTCATTCATTTTCATACTAAATGCAAGTCCCTCTAACATTAGATAAGACTGCTTTTATTATAAAAACCACCGGATTTCCTTTTATGAACAGTGTTCTTTTAGCACAGCTTCCTCAAGTGGGATGCTTTGTATCCTATTATATCCGGAGTCCGACTTGAATCAGCTGTCTCACATATCCTCCAGACGCGATGCTATAGAGATTTTGTCGTTCCGAGATTCACTTCATTTTTGCTTTTTCCTTGACTCTCGGTCTCCAGGTGCCCATCAGCCTGGTGCGCAACGACGGTGTCATTTACGCCACTGGATTGACCTTCACCTACCGGCCTGAACCGGCTCTTCGACAGCACTGTGCCCCTGCCCTTGAACTGATGCGAGCCGCCGCTCTGGCCGCGGCTGCTGCGGCTGCTGCAAACGCGGTTACTACAGTCGGTCCGGGTGTCGACCTCGGCCTCGGCTCTGCCAGCCATCTTCAACCGCTTTGCCCACCTGCCATACCGACATTCCCATCCTCGCTGCCACCGCCGTCAGCACCAGCACCGCCCCAAGCGCCGTCACTCCTCAACAACCCTTTGCTGACTACAGGACCACCGGTGACGGATATGGTCACAGGGTTCACTGGACAGACCGGGCATGGGCACGGTTATGCAGCTCGACAGCTTCTGGGCAACCACAAGATGACGAACGGCATTTGAACCCGATGGTTTTCCCATCGAATCCGCTATCGTCATTTTTGTCTTTTCATTTAGCCTCATTTCAGACAGCCGCATCGTTCTACATCTTCTTAGGTCTATCTTTTTCATTGTCTCTCTTTGTCCCTTGGTCTTCTTATCTACTTTCCAGTATTTCAGATTCGGCTTTCTTATTCTCTTTTTTAGGGCAGTCTCTAACACCTTTATTGTTCATTATTTTCTTTTGCCCAACAACCTTTGCTTATATTATTTTTTCAACACCAATCTGTCAATCTCCCTCAAACTTGGGCATTCAGATGTTGGGGAGCTTTTCAATCCCCACCCCCCGCCACCGAAATGCCTTTCCTGATTGTCCCCATAATTGGTTAGCCAAGACTCAAACCAACTTCTCCCGATCACTCATCTTCGAGTATCTTTTACGCATTACAAACATGCTTCTTATTTTTTAAGCTTAAAAAATAACGATTACTGCTAGAACATAATCATCATCCAAACTTTGTTCGACCGAAATCAGTGCCTTCCATCAGGCTGCTCTGTGCCTCCCTGCCGTCCGAGATGGTATTCACCCTAACAGTTTCCTCTCATCCTCCCGAGCCAATTTATTATATGCTCTGTATATTCCCTATCATACCAACTCGATATCCCAATGAATTTTATTCTCGATACTACTATGATATTCATTGGCCCATTCATATTCTAATATTCTCCGTACTTTGCCGTTTTGGCATTTGTGATGCACGTCAACGTGAACCCGGTCTGGAGGGCCTTTTTACTACAATCCTTTTGACCCACGATTCACTGCCTATTCTTCCTTTATTCTTTCACCATTTTCGCATCCACCGACTCCTTATTAAACTGGATTCGGGCATACACACTAACCTCAAGCCCCTTGCCCTTAACGTTCGTTTTCCTGCAAGCGCAACTAAGTTTTGCAATATCGCTTACAGCTATACTCTGGCCAGTCAGCCAGCCAGCCAGCCAGCTAGTCGGAAAGCAATAAAG